TATTCTGCAGCAGATGTTTTTTGTGTTCTCTGACCTCTGTCCTGGGGACAGCAATTTAGAAAATGAAGGGGTGGCAGCCCACGATGCTGCCACATATACTTATTTAATTGAAATGATCTCGGTTGATGATAGGAATTGCAAAGCAGGAGAGAGCGCTGAGTGGCAGCTGCCCCGTCTGTGGTAGGCTTCTCACCTGGATTCTGGGTTCCACGGGTACCTCTAGTTGGTCTTCTGGCTTTGTGCTACCTCTCCACTTCCTTTAAGAATAGTTAGCTTTTCGGGTTGTGGAGATGGCTCGGTAGGTATAGTGATTGTCATGAAAACCTGGCAATCTAGGCTTAGACACCCAGAATCCCAGTAAAGTTTAAATACAGTCAAACAAACATTTTTAATCCAAGCCTGGCCTATGAGGAGATGGGAGACTGAAGAAGGACCAGAACCTCAAAGGCCTTACATATGCAACAATGAACAAGATCAGACAATATAGAAGGTATGACTGTTTCCCAAGGTTGTCCTCTGATTTTCACTCAGGCAGCATGGACTGCAAATGTCCCTGTTTCTCTGTCTCTGTCTCTGTCTCTGTCTCTGTCTCTCTGTCTCTCTGTCTCTCTGTCTCTCTCTCTCTCACGCACATACACACCTTTTCTTCCGCATTTAAGCTTTAATCATTCTTCATAACCTCAATAGTTTCATTCTTTATTTTCACGCAGGTCCTGTGCAGGGCTCAAGTCATTCACATTTGTCTGAGATCACACTCAGTGCTGTTTGAAGAGTAGATTATAGCAAGACCAAGAGGAAGCAATGAACTTTGGCATAGATGTGTAAATAATGGTGTCCACTAAATGTTGCTTGCAAGGACAGTCTCAATCTATATCCAAAAGCTGCATGTCTCTTTCTCAATTAAATCTTTCAACTTGAGATGGACATGAACTTGCAGTGTCTGTGTCTGGCTGTGAGCTCTTCTCAGGCTGGCTATGAAATAAATAATTTGGCAAAACTAAAATCACTGCTTGGTACCCCTTCTGGAGCTTCCATTTTCTGGGTCATATGTTCCCCTCCATTATTTCTTTTCCATCCACATAAAGCATTCTCTTTGATTAGCTGATCGAGAATGATAAAACTGGCTGACTTCTTCTGTAGTGACCATGAGTCTCAATCCCAAACATAGATGCTTAGATAGTAACATTGCCTTTGGATTTATTAAGAGAAGTTCAGCTACTCGGCCTTTGGTGCTAAGAACTTCTTCAATGATATAGCAGAAGTACAAGTTTATTCCTCCTCTTTTCTACCCACCTCCAACCTTTCAGCTATTTTTTTTTCTGAAGGTCATTATCCATATATCTACATAAACTATCCATACCTATCTCTTTTTTGGTATTTTTATTTAGGCAATGACAAATAATTATCTAATGTATAAGGCACAGAGGCAGCAACCTTTAATGGCTACCCCTTTTCAGACATGCATTTATATTCCAGAATGCACACACAAACACACACACGCACACGCACACGCACATGCACACGTGCACACACACATTTCTCTTTCCTTGTTTCAAAGTGTTTCTTTCAATGAACTATGAGTTTTGTGTCTTTTGTAGAAATTTCCCCTCTGAAATTGACATCATTTCTTTGTATTCATTTAGGTTTCTAAGAACTCTTAATTGAGGCATGCTTTCCCTTCCCAACAGAAGGTTAATCTCTGAACATATTGAAATATTATTTTCTCGCAGACACCCATTAGGAGTCTTCTGTCTCCCTCTTCTAATGAGCTGGGCCTGTGAACTGCTGCTCTCATGGGAGTTTGCTTCCTTGCCATCCTGGGGATTTGCTTACTCACATGCTTTCCCTTCTGTGTTACTTATTTCCTTCCTGGAATCCTTGTCATCCTCTTTCTCAGTTAAAGCCCTCATTTATTGGAGTGCATCTTTTCACAAAGATTTCATAGGCACAAGAAATTTTCAGAGCCTGTCTCTCTTAAGACAATATTCTGCTCTCCAAGGTAATGGAGGGTTTGAGCACACATGGGATTCCAGGTGAAAACCTACTTTTCTGCCCTAAATGGTGAAAAGGTTACTCACCTCTGCTAGCTTTCTTCTATTGCGGCTTTAAAGTGATTTTCAATTACCTGTTGCAGATAATATCTCTGTGCTTCAAAGCATGACTTATCCTCCATAACAGGAATAGAAGTGTTACAGAAGCCATTTCTTCTAGTGGTGCCAAGATGCTACCAAGAGAGTGTTCAGTAGCTGCACCTTAAGGTGGCTGGACCCTTCTCTCCTTATGAGTTTCAATCATAAGTAGGCTCATCTGAACCAGGCTGCCACACAAAAGCACCATCATTCCTGAAGGCAAGATGCAAAATATGGAGGCAGAGGCTGTATGCCAGCATTTTCAGCAATCCTAATTGCTGATTTTTATTGCTCAGAACCAGGCCTATGGCAAAGACCAGTTAGATGGCTGTATAGGATGCAGGTAGAGGAAGGTGTGGCTCACTGGTGGCTTCAGTATAACAATATCATAGTCTCCTTTCTGGCCACTGTGGTATATAGTCCTCCATATGGAAAACACCTTCATGTCTTAACAAGACTTCTAAAAACTCATCAGTTGACAATGCTAAGCTGAACATCCACCTTCTCATTATCTCTCTCTGTTTATCCACGCTTCAGGCTGTGGATGCTTCTGCTCGCTGGGGAAAGGTATGAATTTTAAAACCAGCAGAACAAAACAAAACATCTTTTCTGTCTTCTCCATATCTGTACATGGTGATGAAATGACCACAGGAGAACTGTAGCAGATAACTATAAAAAGGAAGGACCAAAAGGACATAGAGGTCACTGGCCCATGGGAATTCTGAAACCCAGAAGACCATATCTTGTTAGCTTCTTGTGTCTTAGTAGAGGAAATCTGTCTCGATTCGCCCTAGTTCTTTTCTTTAAAGTCATGGTCCTCTAATTTCTGGATTTCTGTGATTCTTTGATCTGCCTACCTTGGAATTTTGCCTTCTGAAGTATCTTGGTTTTTCCCCATAAAAAGTAGGTCCTGTTTTCTTCTTAGCATCTTCCTAAGCCTCCTGACTTTGTGAAGAAAGTAGCAAACCCTACAGGCATTGTTCCACTTTGAATAGTTTTTTCTTGCCTTAGCTCAAACTTGGGTAACTCCTTCACAAACCTCGGGAGTGTCCTACTGTCTGAGTCCCACCATGCCCCAACAGCTGCTGTTGTGATTCTTCTTGAGAGACTCGTAGGCCACATGAACAGCTGCAGTGAGTTTAGATGTGTTCGTTCACCTGAGAGTCTTCACTGAGTGGAATCCTGCAGCATCTTCCAAAGGACCCTGTTACCACATCCTTCCTTCCTTCCTCTGTATCACGAGGCTTTTCTTGTTATGAGAGTCTCACCCTCTAGACACTCTAAACATGCAACAGTTTTGCTTCCTAACTGGGTAAGTCAGGATTAGAAGTTGGACTTGAAGAGTGGAATGTTTCTTTAGCCTGTGTTTATCTTTCTGTGTTACATCATGTAACATTTGGCATTATACCAGAAACCTTCTTTGTATTTGTAGGTCAACCTGATAGAGCTCTTGATTATTTTCTAGTAGTTTTGCTACCAGATTCTTTACTATACACACAAGATGACATCATGCAAGCCCCCAAATGTAGTTATCACAGCACCTAATACCCTACTAGCAAGCTTCTCACTCCGCTGGCAACCTCTACTGCTGCACCTGCCTAATGCCAAGACCCCACTCCTTTGGGCTCTGTGAAAGCAAGGTCCTATTTCCAGACACTTTTTCTTTCACTCATCTATTTCTGTGGAACAAAGCCCTCAGATGGGATAATTCATCTCACTCTGTAAAGCACAATTGAGAAATAATATTGCCATTATTAGTTCAAGGGATATTCAACCTGAAGATGCCACAAGCTCTGTTTAGTGTGAATGACAGGTGAGAACAGACACCAATCTATTAACGTCATTTACTGAGTTTTGGAAATTTGACATTTGTGAGTCCAATTAATTTTCAGTGTCTTCGTTCTAGAATGTAAGGTCTGCTGTTGCAACCTAGCAAATGGTGTTTTCCTGGAAGCAGTGTTTCTAGTTAGAGAGAGCTGATGGAAGATGCATGTACCTGGGATTTGGCCAACATGGTTGCCTGGCCTCAGCTCCTGTTGATGGATTTTCATAACAAATATGAAACAGAAGTGCCAGTTCCCACTGTCATTTCTGACACCGGTAATGGGACCTCTGGCAGATGCCTCCTGTAATGTGGCAAAATTATACTATCTCGTTTTCACTATCTCTCCCAAACTCACCAGCTATTTCCAGGACTGTCTGGGTGTTTCATCAATTCTCTATCTGGCATCAGGTTCACACTCAAGAGAAGTTGCAATGCTAGGATTTGGGAAACTCCTGGAGCAACCTGCATAACACAACTGTTCTCATCTCAGGCAGCTTACTCCACTCTTTTCAATTTATGCTGCTATCATGTTGAAAGTTTGATCCAAAGATAAACCAATGGGACTGAATGACATCCCCGGAATTCACCAATCACTGCTCATGGATTGAAATGTTTTAGTTAATATGACATCAAGTTAATCATGTAAACGTGAATATTAAATTGTTGTTGAGGGTTAAAGAAATGGTTATCTGATATGCATGATTACAGTTTACACAAGGCAATTCGAGTGCCGATCAATATCTCTACCTATTTCATTTCATTTTCACCAAGACCTCATGGGCAGATGAAGTAGAAATCTTTCAGAAGAATTTCTTACAGAGAATGACTGACAATCTCTCCAAAGACCTGAGAATAGAACGTATCTTTCCACTATGTGGTGGTTTGAATGGGAATGGCCCCCATAGGTTTATGCGGTTGAATGCTTAGTCACCAGTTAGTGTAACTGTTAGGGAAGGATTAGGAAGTGTGGCCTTGTTGGAGGAGGTGTGCTTTGAGGTTTCAAAGTCCATATCAGGCCTGGTTTCTCTCTGTACCTGCTGTGTGTGGATCAGGAGCAACTCAGCAACTGTTCCAGCACTGTGCCTGCTGGCTTCCTGCTGTGATGATCATGAACTAACCCTCTAAAACTGTAAGCAAGTCCCCAACTAAATGCTTTCTTTTATAAGACTTGGCTTGGTCACAGCAATAGAACATTAGCTGAAACAAGTTACCAAATGGCCCTAGCTCTCCAAAGGGCAGCACTTTTCTGGTATCATATAATTGATGACAGTAGTTTATCAGACTGGAGGCTTACCGGATATGAACCTCAAAGAACATCTAAGATCCTTCTACAGCCAACAGCACTGTATAATGGCAACTTCTGAATAACTTTTGGTATGCCTGTTGGAAATGATAATCTTGGTCAAATAACTCAATTGGTCTCAGTTTTATCCCTATAAAACTCAGGATTAGAGAGGTCATGGGTGAGAATAAACTACCACAGGCTTGTATGACTATTTAAGAATGCTTTTTTATTCCTGATTTAATTTCTTTTTATGGATAGCCCCCTAAAAGGATAACTAGGTCCAATGTTATACTAGTTTCATAATTATTTGTGAATATACTCTATTAGCAGCTTAGTTTTAATATTTTATACATGATATATTATATTAGTAAACTATCTTAATAAAGTATTTGCATTAGTATATGATATATAGCATGATCTTCCAATAACTAATGATAGTTATCTTTATATTAGTATTTAACATAATCACATATATTGATTTATTACACTGATGTTTATGATATAGTATGTTCAATATTATTCACATAGTATTATACTGAATATGGCATGTTAAATAGATAGTATACTTTGTATAGATATATAACTGTAATTATACATAACTATACATAACTAACTTATTATACATTATAGACAACTGTACTTTTTTTCAAAACAAGCTATCTTATAAATATTTTGTGGTTTAATGGTTAGTTTTCCTAAATCTTACCTTGAGTGTAGGTGTGACAGTTTATCTTCTGCAAGAACCCATATTTCTACTTTTTATCCATTTGTGGCAATTATTTTCTTTAGGTGTTTAAGTGTAATTTAAATTTATAACTCAGTAAGTGATGTAGGCAACACTATTTTTTCATATACAGATTACCATATATGACTATCATTGGCCATTTTGTTGGGCTAGAATCCTTGAAGCTTGTAGAATTGCTGGGCCAAAGTTATGAAACTGAACAAAGTGTTTTAAGGAGTTTATGAGCACATAATAATTCAGACTTTTCTGAATAAAATTAGATATTTATTTACCTGGCAGAATCTCTAACATGGGGAAGATATTTTCATAGATATTTCAAATTCATAATGCAAATACATTCCTTGACTGTACATGGCTATCATTAGAGTGCTACTGTCCAAAGGAAGCCCTTGCCTCCACACCACTTAAATTTAAATGTACTAAAATTGAATAGAATTGGTCTTCTTGCATCACTAGGTAAGAATCCAGTGCTCAGGAGCTATGGATGGTGGGCATGGTCCTGGACAACACAGGGAAGGGTGTTACCATGACTGTGGACCTAGGCTATTGTAGGGTCTGATTTCACTGCTATGGATTGATTAGCTGGTTATGACGAGGCACATTCAGGTACAGAGGCAGATGCAAGAACTGCAATTCAATAATCCTTGATCACTTTAATGAGCCATCATGAAGGGTGTGACTACTAGTGCCTGCTTTATTACATAATTTCAAACAATGTCCTAACCCCTTTTTATTCATGCTGTCTATAATTTTCCCACTCTTTCTTCCTCTCCTTCTCTTTCCCCACCTTCTGTATTGAGTTTTTTTTTGTTTTTACAAAAAAACTTGGTTCATCTCTGTCATCGAGTTGTTATTTATACTGAATTATAATTTGATTCTTGAAGGTGTGTGTGTATGTGTGTGTGTATGTATGTGTGTGTGTATGGGGGTAGGTTGTATGTGTGCATGTATGTGTGTATGGGTAGGTTGGTATGGGTGTGTGTGTGCATGTGTACATGAGCATGTACATGTGTGTGCATGCATGCGTGTGTGCATGTGCACATGGGAGGATAGGTGTGTGTGTGTGTGTGTGTATGAGTGTGTGTCTTATCTTCATGTTTTTGGTCTACCTAAGCATACTCTCAATTGCAAATGAGTAATTTCTCTTTTTATTTCAAATAGTTGGAGTTTTACTAGCCATTTAAAAATATTTAAATGTTATTAATTTTCTTACAGTATGCTAGTTTGAAAACAATCAAATCAAAGGTGGATAGGGAATCTTATACCTGTAATCCCAGCACTCAGGAGTCTGAGTTAGGATGGTTTTCTGAGTTTCAAGGCTAATTTTGGTTATGAAGTAAAGTCAAACTTTCTGAACTATGATGTCAGACCCAGTCTTAGTAAAACTAACAACAATTAAAGAAAAAAGTCAGGTTATTTATATTCTAAATGAGTTTTTGTAATCTCCACATAGTTCATGAAATATTTAAAACTGTTTTGAGAATTCTGAAAAGATCAGTGTGTGTGTGTGTGTGTGTGTGTGTGTGTACATACACATGCATGATCTTGAGTTTATAGGTGCTCCTGTGTGGATATATGTCTGTGGGTATGTGTCCATGCATGTGAATCCTTGTGGAGGTCAAAGGCCATCCCCAGGAGCCATCCATCTTGCTTTCTGAGATGAGTGCTGTGGCAGAAATCTGGGGCTCACTGGTGGATTAAACTATCCTGACAGTGAGCTAGGGAACCTCTTTTCCCCTCTTCCAAGTCCTGGAGTTAAAAACACACCAAAGTGCCAGGTTCTTTACACAGTGTGAGGATCAGACCTCCCTAGATCCAAGATGCAACTTTTTATATCTGATTTTGCATTTATGATAACGTCTTACTCCCTTGGAATAAATATCTTTCAAACAAACCAATGAAGTCACCATTTACAGAAGAGATGCATAGAACAATTCGTTATTTTTGTAACATTTTAGTTTTTCAAAGATTGTTCTGTTGTGGTTTTTCCTTTATTCTGGTGATTGTTCCTTAAGTTTTCATGCGTGTAAAAACTCTATTTTTGTTATGGCCATATCTATTCTCCCCTTCCCCATCTCTGCTCCCACCTTCCCCGACACACCTCCCTGCCAACTTCATGCTTTCTTCTTCTCTTTAAAAATAATCAACCCTTGGTCTTGTGGAGGCTTGATGCACTTGATGCCCCAGTATAAGGGGATACTCGAGTGATGAGGGAGGAGTGGGTGAGTGGGTAGAGGAGCACCCTCATAGAGGAAAGGGGAGGAGATTAGGATCGGGGATTTGTGGGGGGATAACTGGGAAGGGGAATATCATTTGAAATGTAAACAAATTAAATGATTACTACTAATAATAATAAACCACCTGGTCAAGTTAGTGCTACCTGTGCATGCATTAGTGAAGGATCAACCTCCATGCTATAGCTGCCTACTAGTAGCCATTCCTCCCCAATGAAAAGTGTTCACATCCCTCAGCAACCATCAACTTCTACTAGCTCCCAAGTTAAACGTGAGCATCGGGATCCCCTCTCCCCTCCATTCTTTTTTAGAGAAGCGTTTTGTCAATCATAAGGACCTCTTTAAAAAAACAACTTATCCAGTCCTAGCCAGAAGCACACAGCATGTTTCTATTTCACAATGGGAAATAGTTTTCTTCTTCAGCTCTCAGGACCAACTAGCCATGTTCTTCATGCTTTTGAAGCCATCTTCTTCAGTTTCCTAAGTACAAATTATTCACTGTTTTCCTTCTTTGGGGATAATTAAGTAGGAAAAAGTTAAAGCTGACCTGCTAGCCTCTGTGTCCTGCTGGGCCCTAGGTATAGTTATCTGAGAAATCAGACGTATATCCCTGCTCTTTTCTTCAGGATAAAGGTTTCTCAAGCTCCTCAGAGGGTAACTAAAAGGTTTGTCAGACGAACAAATCTTGGTCCTTTCTTGTTTGCTTTTCAACCTGGCCCTATGAGGATGGTTATAACTATGATAGTCTGTACAGCTTTCTGCTAGAACTTTCTTTATATATGTAGTCACATGTGATGGATTGATAAAGAAGTGATCCCATAGGCTCATACATTTGAATGCTTAGGCATCAGGGAGTGACTCTACTTAGAAGGATTAAGAGGTGTGTTCTTGTTGGGATAGATGTGGCCTTGTGGGAATCAGTGTCTCACTGGAGGCCCACTTTGAGACTTCAAAAGCCCAAGCCAGGCCCAGTGGCTCTCTCTCTTTCAACTACCTGCAGATCTGGATGCTGAACTCTCAGTTACTTCTCCAGTACCATGTCTGACTGTATGCTGCCATGCTTCTTGCCATGATGACAATGAACTAAACCTCTGAAACTGTAAGGAAGGTCCAATTAAATGCTTTCTTCTGTAAGAGTTGTCATGGTCATGGTATCTCTTCACAGCAATAAAACACTAAGATAGCACAAGCACATCTTCTCTCCTGGAACAGAGGAACGGAACCACTAGGAGACACATGCAGATATGAACAGCTCTGTGTAGAACTATCCATTTGAGGACTGCCCATTAGCAGCTTGGCTAGATCCCTCATTTTCACTACACATTCACACTTTGCATTTAGAAGAACTTGGCCATACAGACCATCATTAATGCCAGAGTGCCCACACAATTACTCCTTGCCAGGGCTGCTCAATGAGGTGCAGGCTCATACTCCTTCCAACACGTATCACAGTCTCCCAAGTTGTAGAGGGAACTTCCTGACTTAGGTCACTTTACAGGTGACTTTATGTTCACTTTTCACCTGTAATGAACTGAAATGCAGAACTGAGACAATGCACTGCTTATTCCAAAATAAAGTTTACGATAGGATAAGTAAACATACACCAAAAAATGAGACCTTGCTTGGGTGCCGAATCTGAGGGGAACTTTTCCAAATCCAAAATAGTGTAAAATGTTGAACTTTCCAATGTAGCTTTGATTTCCTGGGTTATTATTTTTATTGATAACCCTGTCACTGCATTCCTCATAGGTACTTCTGACATCTCCCAGTTTCTTGGGCACATGCAATCCTAGTTCAAATCATGGTACACAGTGATCCTTTAACTTATGTCAGGTTCTAGGTGTTCTTACTTTGTTTTGATATCT